TGGCCTGTGCGCAGCCTAAAGCAGTTATGTTTGAGCTGAGTTGCGCTATCTGTTTAGAACAATTTGAAGAACCAAAAGTGTTACCATGCCTGCACACTTACTGTAAAGAGTGCCTTGTGAAACTAGTGAAGAGGAAGGGACCTGATCATATCATAACCTGCCCAGAGTGCCGCCAGGATGTAATAGTGAGTTAAGGATTTTATTATTACAACAAAACGCTTTTAACCTTTATGGATATCGATTCTTCACACTATTTGCTATACGTTTCTATTGATTTTAGATCTGGGAATTTGAAAATCAAATCGATCTTGTCAGGATAAACCATTTTCGGTGACACAACTCAGGGATCGGCCAATCAGAGGGTGGAACGCTAACAGCTGTGTGTCCAAAGCTCAGGTGCGGGGAGGGTATGTTTCGGGCTGGTCAGCTTATAACTATTGATATTGTCTAGGGGGTTTTCTTAGCCCCAAATGGTGCCATTGCGTTTTGCCTGACTGTTAGGCAAGTTTATGCCCTGTTACACCACAGAACAGCAGGAGGGTGGTTTAGTGTCAAAGTGTCGGGTTTGGGAAGGGGCTCTATTTGACATTGCAAGCATTATCTCCCTAGGTTTTCGGGCGCTTTAAACGCAGGAAGCTTAACGTCAGCTAGCACTATTACGCAGCCCACCTGGCACTGGCCCATTCGAGGGTGGGTAGCAAACAGCAGTGTCTAAAGTCAAGGGTTGGCGAGGGCACGTTTTTGTACCCCCAGGTTAACTGGAATTTGTTGTCAAATTGTTAGCTCATCTTGGCAAAGCCCTTCATGACAATAATGAAAATAATAATTACTGATATAATTATTATCATCATTCTTATTGGAAAGCTTCTTATATTCTCAAATAGATTACTGACGGAGATGTTGACAAGCTGAAGCCAAATTTTTGGATGAACAATTTCATGACCTTGCTAAGCATGCAGGACAGCAACATGTCTTCGTCCAAAAAGCCGCAGGTGTGTGAGCATTGCGACACTGAGGACCCAGCTGTGTCCCGCTGTACCAACTGCTGTGTTTTCATGTGCGAGTTTTGTGTCACTGCTCATAAAAGGATCAATGCATTCAAGGGTCACAAGATCTTATCCCTGGAGGAAGTCAAAAGAGCTGGCTCAAAGGCCCTTGTCAAGCCAGCATTCTGTGAAAAGCATGGTGGGGAGTTAGTCAAGCTCTTTTGTCAAACGTGCCAAGAAACAATCTGCCGAGACTGCACTGTTGTTGATCACCGAGAACATAAGTACGACTTTGTGGCTGATATTGCTGAAAAGGAAAGACGTTCTGTGCGCGCTATTCTTAAGAAATGTACAACTAAAGAAAGGGCGGTTGCTGAGGGTCTGAAAGCGGTACAGAACATGAAAAGCTGTGTCTTAACTAAAATCTCAGAGGTAAACAAACAGGTGGACTATTTTATTGATGAGCAAGTGAGGGTATTGGAAGAACAACGTGCACACCTGAAGCATGAAGCTTTAACACAAGGCCAAGTTAAAGTAAAGCAGCTCGACAGTCAGGCAGACGATCTTTCCTCCCTTTTGGCCCAGTTGAGAAGTGGCATTGATTTCACCGGTCAGGCCATAGTGGATGGAGATGACGTAAAGCTCTTATCCCTGAAGACACAACTTGTCCAGCGACTTTCTCGGCTTATTTCGTCACAAGACCAGTTGAAACCCTGTCAGAATGATTATATGACGCTTCAAGTGAAAAGATCGATTAGGGATGAGGGTGAATTAGCACAAATGATTTACAAACAGTGTGACCCCCAGAGCTGCACCATTAGCATGGGAGGGAGACAAGAAGGAGTGATATATCCGACCACAATGAATGAAAACGTGTATTTCACAGTTATCATCAAGGATGAAAGCGGTTGTAGAGTTACAGAAGGTGGGCACAAAGTGTGCATTGAGGTTCAATTAAGGAACAATTTACGACGAGGTCCCCTAGACGAACGCAATTGTGGAAAAAGAGCAATCGGCAATCGGCAACTTGGCAATCGGTTGGCAAACACTTGGGTAGCACTTGCAGTGCAAGATAATGGTGATGGGTCATATACTTTCTCCTATTGCCCAATGCAACCCGGATTTTGTAGTTTGTCAGTGAAGGTTGAGGGTAAACCCATAAATAGAAGTCCATTTAAGTGGCAAGTCAACCAGGCCCAGGCGTATTGCCGGAGATACGTTCAAGAAATGTAGGATTTATACAAACAATTAGGGCGAATAGGAATCAAGCTAAATGATTATTGAAACAATCAGAAACCCACGTTTTCTAATTGCTTGGTGGGTTACAAAAGCTCTGTTTAGAGTTCTATTGCCACCCTGTGTCATCATCTGGGAAGACGGCTTGTTTTTTTTTTAAATCGAGGGTCGAGTATCCGTCACTTCCTACATAGAAACATTGGTAGAGGCAACTAGTGGCAGAAGGGCAATACGAGATATGGTTGACAATTTTTGTATGAGCAATTACTATATAACAGAAATTTTATGAGCTATTCTTAAAGAGAAAGGTGGTTTAAATCATTAAATGAGTAAGTTTAAGTTTACAATACATGTTAAAAACAATATTTCAATAGATGGCTGGGGGAGCCTCCAGATATCATGGGGTTACACGAGGGAGGCCTCCTTAGAAAAAAGAAGAAAAAAACATGTCTATGTAAGCGATACGCGTTCGTTGGGAACATTTCTTTCGCCAAACCACCAATCTTAATAATCATTACATCTATCAATTGAGTAAAAATCTTCGAAGACGTCATTTAAAAGAAGCAAAAGTTTCAGAATGCCTTATATCATTGGTTCTTGAAAAATACAGACAAAATATTTAACATCAGTTGGAAATTGATGAGATCGCTAATCAGTACCTCTTCTGGTATTATTCGAGTACATGGGGTTATTTGAATCTTCGGGTATTGGAAAACGATGAGAAGGCTTAATTTCTGACGGTTGCACATGTCATGGAGAGTTATTGAGACATGCTTTTAACTTAAGATAGCCTTATCAATCATTCTCTCACCGTCCTTCAGTAACATCCTAACTTTTTAAGGTGAAGTTTACAAACGATGTTAAAGCACCCTAGATTGTACCTTGAAGGAAAAAAGAATTCATTTTATGAAAGATTAAATTCAAAGGTGAAGTAGCATATCGACCGAAGAGTTTATTCAAAAATCGCGTAATAAAATGTATCGTCAATCAGAATTTTCCCCTCGACTAAAGGTAACAACCCTCTCTGGAAGAACTTAATTGTTGATATTAAATCGAACTCATAAATACTTCCTGCGTTTGAATTTTATCCATAACCAAGATCAAAGGAATTCAGTGGAAGTTAAACAAGTTTTTCATTTGGAACAATTTCACTAAGAAGGGTACAGTCAAAACTATTTGGACTGCTTTTCTGGATGATTTGTTTTAAGACGGGAAAGGAAGTTTAAGTCTTTCTTTTGGCGTCCTCAAGAATCAAGAAATCGGCGGTATTCGAAGAGCAAACATCTAAAATTTGCCATTTATGGCAGGTTTGTACGGGTTTGGCTGGGGAGGTAGCTGACTATGAGAAGGTCCTCATTATTAGCTAATCAGCACGAGCGTTTCTTCGCTCAGGATAAGTTTAATTAAAGCTTTGAGCAAACCGAGTCTTCGAGAGGATTGCAAGGGATCTGGTCCTAAAAATTGACACCAACCTTTCACTGAGTCCCAACGGCCCGTTTGTATTGTCTTCCTCCTTTACTTCACCTCAAGTGAGATCAAAAACTTAAACTAAGAATGGTCTATCAATTAAAATTAAATCCATGTTTATCTCCCGAAATCAATGTTAAAAGTATTTTTGTGCGAGTTTTTGTACATTGAGTAATCAATTATGGTTAAAATTGCATTTGTTTAAATTGTTTTCAAGAACATCCCTATTCTATGGAACCTGTATTTAGCGGTCACCCAGCCATTCACGGGCGGGTAACCATTTGATACAGGTTTGACTGCATTAGAGTTCTTTGTAGAACACGGGAACCTATTTTTTTTTTCTTTGTCTCATGCTTGTGACAAGACCGCTAAAGTCTTTCTTTAAAATCGAGGTTGCTTTTGGAAAAGACAAATTTTATTTCAATTAAAAAAGCTGCTTCAAAATCGCTGAAGAGCTCCACCAGAGACCATTGGCAAGCCGCAAAATCAAATGATGAAGTTTTAATTGAAAGGAAAGGACAACGACTTTTATGAGACAACAGCAAAAATGAGCTTTTCGCGCCCGCGCGAATAAGCGATGCATGGTTGGATGACAAATATCAAAACTTCCACCAGATGTAAATATCACCTTTCATCACCTTCTCCGTGGCAAAATCGCCCAATGCGAAAATTCCCTTCAAATGAATTATCATTTGAAAAACGGCCCATAGGACAGAGTTGAACAACGAATGCTACGTCGAAGTTATGCGAAGTTAAGGGAAACAACACCTCGAAAAAACACAATGGCAAATAAAACATGCAAACGACTCAAAATTCGTTTCACTCCAAAGTCTTGCGCATGCGGAGATGTTATTCGGCTCTGTCGGTCAATAGTGTGTGGCGATGATCAGTAGTCGTAATGCGTTGAAATCAGTGAAGCACACTAACGGTGTTGGTCGAGCCTTTGAACTTTCTAATTACAGAGGTAAGTTCCTTTCATTTGGTGCGACTACATTTTAGTATGCTAATTATCCGTTAGCTTAGGAGTGTAGCACTCTTTCTCAGCGGTAGAAAATGTCCTAGAGTATCTATGAGAACAAACTACACTGTTGTGTTCAATATCGTTTCAAGTAAGCTTACAGATACTCTTCTTCTCCAACTTTTCCTTCTTAATCCCTAAAGTTTAGTTTATTCAGTGCGTTTTGAACCGAGAAAGGTGATGTAAATCTATAAACTGGGCGTTTCATTTGCTACTCTCCTGCGTGAACGAATCTAGCTTAAGACGGAGGCCAAACGTAAAAGAAAGCTGTACATAAACAAGTAAAGTAGCCTCCACTATGCTCGTTTACGTTCTAAAGCAATCAGATGTTAGCCAGATTACGATATAAGTGCAAGGGGAATCACATCACGCAAGCGAGTGTTTCACTTTGACTATTGAGAAGAATGGAGAACGTTTAATTCAAGGTAAATTCGTCGAAATGTTGAAGTAGAAATTCAGAACTCAGCCAACTGTAACTAACCATGCATCAGTTGTAGATAACTCGACTATACAGAAGTGATGTATTCCAAAATTTTGGGGGATATGAGGGAGCCACGTGCACCAGAACAGCACGAAAATATATGAAAAAACAACGCATTGAAAAGTTGATGAAACACCAGCACTGTGCATGATTTACACACATAACTGAACAACTCACAAAGACAGATGACATTCTTGCATGTGTTGTGAATAAAGTTGATTTACCGATAATCCTCCAGTTCTAATGTGCCTTCACTTGCTCATCGTATGTTTATTCGTTTTCAATATGTTATAGTTTCAAGTCTTCACTATGAAGTTAATAACCTCTCTTTCCAAATCCTCTCTTGCGCAGTAATGAAGTTTTGTCAGTAGCATAAGCTAAATTTAGTTCAGAGAAGGATGACACGGATGACCGATTAAGTAGGGTCCACTAAACAAGAAATCAAAACAACAAACAAGTCTTTTCGCGGTATAACAGAATTTTTAAAAATTCAAACAGGTGTTCAACAGGATGTTTATATTCATCGAAATACGCTGTAAAACAGTGTTGCTTGCTACTTCATAGCCTGTGTCTTAAAGTGTTATGAATGTTGTTTATAATTCAGCGTATTAGTAAGTATTTTAAATGACGAAGAACAAATGAAAATGAAGGCGAATACTTTACAAAATAGACTAGTATCTAATTGTATTTTTGAGGGGGGGGGAGGTTAGGTTGGGGGAGGACTTTACGGTACTTATCAGTATTAATCAGACGTCACAGATAATTCCTTCAAATATGTTTTTGTTGCATATGTTCAGTCAACTTGAAAATAGATGAGGTATTCAGTTTGAATTGAATTTTTCAGACTCGACATGGCCTGTGCTCAGCCTGAGGAAATTAATAAGCATCTGTGCTGTGCCGTCTGTTTTGAACAATTCAAGGAACCGAAAGTTCTGCCATGCTTGCACACCTACTGTAAAGGGTGCCTTGTGAAACTAGTGAAAAAAAAGGGACGTAATCATATCATAACCTGCCCAGAGTGCCGACAGGAAGTTAAAGTAAGTTCAAAAATAATGAAAGATGTTACTTGTGTAGTCACAAACGTAAGCCAAAACGAGAAAAATCGAACCTCGGACATTTGGATTGCGCGCTATTATGCTCGACCACTGATCCACAGAGAACCCTTTGATGAATAAGACCATTATTAGGTCCATATGCGACAAGAGTTCTGCATAATGCTTAGATCAGCAATGTTGAGGGCGTTGCGGAATACAGAAAGATTTCATACGTTTTTCTGTGAGCGTAGGACGTAGAAAAACATCTAGGTCCCTCCCTCCCCCTCCCCCACGAGGAAGATTTTTATAAACACACGCTCGTGAAAACTGCTAAGGAACTGCTCCTTGTGCAAGCTGCATTTGAAAAGAATGGTGATTTCCTTTTGTCCAGCACTTGAATTCCAACTCGAGGTCCTGGACTAAGTACCCACTACTTTTACCACTCAGTTCATGTCTCACTCGGAATGCTTACTGAAGGTTAGATTGAGAGGGGAAGTGTGAGTGGACTTAAAAAAATAGAACATTCATTTTCTGGTTTATTCTGAAATTGGTACCAACTCAAAATATTATGAGGAAATCATGTTAAGAGAATATTCATATGTTTTAACTGAAAAGTAAGAAGTAGAAGAACAGGAAGAAAAATAGTTTTGTTTAGGTGTCAATGCTCTAAGCTTGTTCTGAGCACCAAAATGAGGCACTTGAACAAACAAGTTCCGTAGTTGAAGTTTTTTCAGTCTATTTCTACAGTTAACATTATTTGGTCTTATTTTGAAAAAAAAAATTGAGGGTAATAAGCAGATAAAAAGATGGCAATGGTGTTATCTCAATAATTCATCGGGACAATCTACATTGCAGATTACATGCTCTCAAAAATCGCGAATACTGAAAGACATGCAGGATATCGAACAATTCATGACACTGTGATTTCTAGAATGTTCTGTTGGTCAATGTACATTTCACATCTTTAAGGCCGTTTCGTACACTGACTTGAATTAGGGTGCAGTTTCACCGAAGAAATTAGTCAAACTTTTAAAAAATGTATAAGAAATGAACTAACGCACGATTTGATCAGTGCATATCAGCGAGTTTATCTATAAAATATCTTAAAGTTTGCACTTACTCTCAAATAGATAACTAATGGAGATGTTGGCAAGCTGCAGTCAAATTTCTGGGTGAATAATTTTATGACCTTGCTAAGCATGCAGGACAGCAACATGTCTTCATCCAAAAAGCCACTGGTGTGTGATCATTGCGACAGTGGGGATCCAGCTGTGTCCCGCTGTACCAACTGCTGTGTTTTCATGTGCGAGTTTTGTGTCACTGCACATAAAAGGATCAATGCATTCAAGGGTCACAAGATCTTATCCCTGGAGGAAGTCAAAAGAGTTGGCTCAAAGGCTCTTGTCAAGCCAGCATTCTGTGAAAAGCATGGTGGGGAGTTAGTCAAGCTCTTTTGCCAAACGTGCCAGAAAACAATCTGCCGGGACTGCACCATTGTTGATCACCGAGAACACAAATACAACTTTGTGGCTGATATTGCTGAAAAGGAAAGACGTTCTGTGCGCGGTATTCTTGAGAAATGTACAACTAAAGAAAAGGCAGTTGCTGAGGGTCTGAAAGCGGTACAGAACATGAAAAGCTGCGTCCTAACTAAAGTGTCAGAGGTAAACAAACAGGTGGACTCTTTTATTGACGAGCAAATTAAGACATTGGAGTATCACCGAGCAAACCTGAAACATGAAGCTACAACAAAAGGCCAAGGTAAAGTCAAGCAGCTCGACAGTCAGGCTGACGATCTTTCCTCCCTTTTGGCCCAGTTGAGAAGTGGCATTGATTTCACCGGTCAGGCCATAGCAGATGGAGATGACGTAAAGCTCTTGTCCATGAAGACACAACTTATCAAGCGACTTTCTCAGCTCAATTCTTCACAAGACCAGTTGAAACCCTGTCAGAATGATTATATGAAGCTTCAAGTGAAAAGATCGATTAAGGATGAGGGGGAATTGGCGCAAGTGATGTACAAACAGTGTGACCCCCAAAGGTGCACCATTAGTATGGGAGGGAGTGAAGAAGGATATATATATTCGACCAGCATCAATGTAGACACGTATTTCATAGTTATCGTCAAGGATGAAAGCGGTGATAGAGTTACAGAAGGTGGACATAAAGTCAGCATTCAAGTTCGATTAGCGCAAATTTGTTCTGTACCGTTTATTTGGGAAGATGAAGCACTTGGCAGTCAGTTGGCAAGCACTTGGGAAGCACTTGCAGGGCGAGATAATGGTGATGGGTCATATATTTTCAATTATTGTCCAAGGCAAACTGGACTTTGGAGTTTGTCAGTGAACGTTGAGGGTCAACCCATACATGGAAGTCCATTTAATTGGCAAGTGAACCAGGTAGTTTACGCCGAGTACCCTGCATACTAAGAGTACGAATGGTAATGAGACGAAGGCTATTACGAAGACGAACTGGCCCGTGCATAAGGCCGGAGACGCAGTAGATATGGATAGGATTTATACAAAAAATAGGGCAAATAGGAATCGAGCTAAATGATTACTCACACAGGTTCATTTGAAACAATCAGAAACCCACGCGTTCTAATTGTTTGGTGGGCACAAAAACTCTGGTTAAGAGTTATATTGTTAAACGATAAAAATAGAACTATATTTAATCTGAAATATTGTAAGGGTTTCCTTATATTGGTGTTGGGAAAAAGAATGGAAATATTATATTACTTTAAGCCATTCGATACAAAAATTATAATAAGACAGGTTGATTATTTCTTATTCCTTTTGGCGATCTCATCTAAGTACAATTTCTTTCACCTTTTTCTTATTGCGGTGTGAATTTGGTACGGAAACAGTTGCTCCGTTTCTACGGTGATTAGATCTTGTTGTACTATTTTGTGATAAGCTATGTTTCTAATTATGTCAATGCGGGTGACCACTTGATACAGGTTTAACTGTATTAGAGTTCTTTGTAGAATACGGGAACCTGTTATTTTTTCTTTGTCTCATGCTCGTAACAAGACCGATCAAGTCTTTCTTTAGAATCGAGGTTGCTTTTGGAAAAGACAAATTTTATTTCAATTAAAAAAGCTGCATCAAAATCGCTGAAGAGCTCCACCAGAGACTATTGGCAAGCTGCAAAGTCAAATGATGAAGTTTTTATTGAAAGGAAAGGATAACGACTTTCATGAGACAACAGCAAAAGTGAGCTTTTCGCACCTGCGCGAATAAGTGATGGTGGATGACAAATATCAAAACTTCCACCAGGTGTAAATATCACCTTTGATCACCTTTTCCGTGGCAAAATCGCCCAATGCGAAAATTCCCTACAAATAAATTATCACTTGAAAAACAGCCCATAACGAAATGCTACGTTAAAGCTATGCGGTCAATAACGCAGGCTCAAGCGCACGAGGTTTAACTATGTTCTCAGCCATTCTTTACTTGATTTACCTTATATTGCATCGAGGCGTGATTGCATTAAATTAGGCTTCCTTTCATTTTGCCTGTTAATCATAAATAATTTTTTTATTTAATCAGCAATCCTATTTTGGTAAGACTTTAATTTTGTACATCGAGGTATTCCACGTTGTTGGATTCCGCCATTCCGCTACTCCATCATTCCATCAAATAGGGTCACCCCGTCGAACTCGCGAACTTGGCGGCTCATTTGGGCATTATTCGCTGATTGAAATAGTAAAATGCTCTCTTTCCGAATAAACAAATTTTTTGTTCAAATTTTACACGATGAGCAGATCAAATGGATATTTTTCGTCATGTAAACAAAATGACAACTAGGTACCACTCCCCTTCAGGCGTTACATTCCCGTAGAACGCCTGTTTATTTCTGCTCCTGTCATGACGGAAGTTGAGAGTGGTTGTGTCTTTTACTCGTTTTGACCTCCCTCAAGAGCTTCGGCAGTGTACAGTTTGTTACTCGGTGAGTGTTCCTTTTATAACTGAATGTTCTTTTCAACAAGGTGTTGCTGAGCTGCAAGGAACAGATAACAACTTGCTCGTACGACGCAGCGATCTGCTTTTCTTTGTGCAAATGTGGCGCTGAATTGAAAGGAGATCGAATTTTTATGAATTATCATGAGTCTTTTCAGGTGCAATACCCCATTAAATTTTTCGAGGCCACTACGGAAAACCATGTTTTACGGGTATATTCTGCCTGGAAAAGAAGCCCAACAGTTAGGACGAGGTTCAAAGTAATCAACAATTTTGACTCAAAGGATACTTAGTTCACGGATACGTACCTTTAGTAAGAACACAGTAAGCCACTGAAAATTATTTTCTCCTTAATAAATGTTGTTCGACAGAGGAAAGACACAAAAACAATTTGGTTTACGAGTGATTTAAAGTAATATTAACAGCCTTTTTACTAGCTTTCATATCCTCAACAACCTCAAATCACTTTTACAGGTGTACCTTGTGGAATCTTGGTAGAGAAAGGTGTCTGTTTTGGACACAGCATCCTTAGAAAATCAGAAATTGTCTTATCTCCAATTCTCCAATTGTCTGTTCTCCAATCACTTCTCTTGTGATCTAAACCAACAAACCTTAAAACTGAGCACTGTGAGAGAATTGGTGCAAACGGGTGAATGTATGAATCCCGTTATATTTTGATCTAAATATTTATTACCTTTTCTCCAGAAACAAAACCTTGGTCCAGTTAGCCATACTGTATTCAGTGGGATTTCTTTCTTGCCTAGGCCATTTCCCTGGGTTTAAGAAGATCATGGCCACTAGTAAGCGATATGTTCCTCCTTTGTCTAAGAGTAAAGGATCAGCAGGAGCAGCAGCAGAGTCAACAAGGAGATTAGATGACCTTGTTCAAGATTCGATTTTTACTGTGAAACTGGGGTCAAAAAATAATTACAGTGAGTCTAACTCAGAGAAAGTAATTTTGTAATAGTGTTATTGCTTTACAGTTTACATCAACAATCTTGACAAATCTCAGTATGCTGTATATATACTTGTTATTTATCTGGTATAAAGTGAAATTATACTATATTCAAATTATAATTTTAAAAAAGCCATTACCAGGAACTGCCTACATTTTCATTAAAGTAAACAAAGGTATTCATGTAGCTTATCTTGTTATTACCCCAGCCTATACTTTTTCTCAGCCCTCAGAATCAATGTAAGTATTGACAATTGTTATGAACCATTTTTGTTTGTGGTCTTAAACAGTTAACTCTGGTCACCCAGTAAAAGAGTATCCCATTGTAATGAAATAAATTATTATAAAAAGAGTATTTTTCTTACACGCAATTGAAATCAGTGTGCAATTAACATAAAGGAAAAAAAATCTGCTCTTAAGGAAGGAGTTCTACTTAGCTTTCTTCTTAGACATTTCACATCTTTCCCTGAGGAACCAGGGACTAGTGATGAGTTTGAGGCATGAGTGGAAGAAGTAAGATCAACACTCTTTCTCCTACGCATTCCTTTTCCCCCTCTCATGCTCATAAGTTTTTCCACAAAGCAGCATCCAGGTACAAAGAAGATTTTTATCATTCAAACATTGAAAATAGTTTGTCTCTATTACAACTTTTCAAAATTTATACAGCATGTGAAATTGATTTTCAGGTGACCTTCCGTTTCCTGAAATAACAGGCAAGGACGAGAGTAACTCAAACATTCAGCAGTTTGAATTTCCTTTTAAAGAAAGGGAACTGCGGAAATTGATGCTGGTAAGTTGACCCACACAGTGAAAAAAATCTGTGGCTTTCAATTATCATTTAAAAACACACTGCCATCGTTAGGCTTTTTGCCAGCAGTGAAAAACCAAGGAAGTTATTCAGTACAATTGGTGATAATTTCAAAGTTTAGGATACTTAATTAGTGAAAGATTTATTTATGTGACAGATTGTGCCTTTTGATGGTTGATTAGAAACTTGTGAAAAAACTGCATCAGTCATAATTTGAAAACCAATAATTTAATCAGGTTGAATCAAGTTATCAAAGTGTTGCTTTCAAGGCTAAATTTCAGCTCTGTCCATGTGGGTTTCAATAGCCTGTTTTATTTTTTTCATAGTGGTTCCGAGAAATAGGTTGGAAAGATCAGGGTGCTGAGTTGCAATTTCCACCAGATCTTGAAAAATCGCAGCGGAAACAAGTTCATGACATTGCACAAAGCTTTGGTCTGGGAACTTCCAGTAAAGGCTTTAATGAAAAGGTAAGGGTCTTGTAATAAAAAAGATGGTCTAAGCTGTAGGTTTTGTGCACTTCTTTCTGTACAAAAGCTATACAACAAATGGTTTGCTGGAACCTAAGAGTAACAGATGACCATGTACCCTGATCATCCAGGTGAGAGCATCCCTGAAAAGGACCATACAGTTGTAGATAGTAGTGGCTGAATTGACCCTCATGATGACTTCTGCCAAGGTTGTTGAAATGTTGGCTTGACTATTGATGGTAACTGATTCCTTCTCAGAATGTCTCTCACCAAGATGATGAGACACAATCAAATGTACACAAATTTGTTGAGCAGGCATCTTAGATTATCAGGAGAAGTGTAAGAGGTTGAGGAGGAAGGCCCATGTTAAATTTTTATTTTCTTTTGCCTTAATCTATTATCATAATCTGAGACAAATGACAACAAAAATTTAATTGTTTGGAAAACAAAACTCAGTTATATCAGTTATTTGAGACACAATAAGGGAAAGGGGCAGGTCCCTACCCCCATTGATCATTAATACAATTAGCTTTAAATATTTATGACTTTTGATAATTGGTGATTGGTGTATTAACCCTTTAATTCCTGAGAGTGACTAGCATCTAATTTCTCCTTTACAATATCACCACTAAATCATACATCAAGGTCATAAGGATAAAGGAAATGATCACCAACCAAAGAAGCTCTTGATTGTGAGACAAGTTCTCCTTGTAAGCACTTAAAGAAATGTATAGAGCACAGTATGGAGAATATGCATCATGATGTTCAGGTGTAAAGGGTTAAAATGATGTGGGAGAAGTAGTGATCTTATGGTTAGTGTGCTGGAGTCTGGGTCAAGAGGTTTGGCTTTGAGACTTGGCCGGGTGAATGTGTTGTATTCTTGGACAAAACACTTCACTCTTACAGTGCTGCTTTCTACCCCAGGAGTGCGAATGGGTTTTGGTGAATAGTGGGGTAAGTCTAAGGAAATGCATTTGATGGACTAGCATTGCATCCAGGAGGGAGTAGTGATGCTCCTAATCACTTCATGCCAAGGAAACCTGGATAAGCTGCAGCTGGGTTGGCCACTTGGTTTGAGTACAGACTTAACCTTACATAGTATTTTTTTTTTAACCTTACTTACTATGAATATATTAATACAATGACTCTTGATAGGTATTAAGAATTATTCATCTTTTTCTTCAGCGTTTTATTAGTGTATACTCAATTGAATATGCTACTCTTGGTGTTGGTAAAAATTACTTAACCAATGAAGAAAAAGATAAAGCCAACATCATCTGGAAACTCGTTAAACAACAAGGAGAGGATGAAAAGTATAAAAATTTCAGTCACAATGAGATTGATGAGATGGTCCTTGCTAAAAATCTTGATCCACGACTCCAAGAATTGTGGGACAAGAGAGAATCCTTACTGGTAGATGACTTCAAAGAAAAGTGTAATGTTACTGATGAGTAATTCAGGCCTTGCTTTGTGTTGTGTCAGTTTCACTTTAAGTTAGTTATTTATTAATAGTCTCCCATACATTGGTTTGTTTTCACCTCAGAGATGGTTCTGCACAAAGGTCAATCTTAATCAGATATTCTTAGTGAAAGAAATTTAGTGGGTAAAATTACCTACTTGTAAAGTATACTGTTAAGTAAAGTGTAATTTCTTCCAAAGAAACTACTGTAGAAAGAAGAGAAATTGTGACTTTAAAAGTGGATGTCTGTGATAACTAACTTTTATTTAGATAGAGAGCTAATGCCCTGATTCCCATCCTCTAATTTTCTCTTGATATATGCTATATTTCCTTGAATAAGCTTAAAATTTTGGCTAAGTGGAGGGAAGCTTTTTGAAAGGAGGGTGTTTTATCTGGGAGGGATGCTTATTAAGTTAGTGCAACAATAAGACAAAGATTAAAGCAGATGATGTACATAAATGTACTCTGCAAGCACAAGGAGATAGAAATAAGTGGAATGGAAAAGAAACTATTCCCCTATACTGAATTCCAGACTGTAATTGAAGCTTAAAAGGTTATGAAGAAAGTGGAAATAGAAACAGTGAGGGAGGAGGTGGGGAAGGGGGGGGGTTCATTAGAGAGGGTTACTTAGGTACTTATTGGGGGGTGGGGACTTCTTAGGGTGTGGGCACTTATTTGAGGAGATGTGGTATACACACATGGCTTGAGTGCATCATCAATAAGAGTGAAAGAAAAATTCCTTGTTGATAGGTAAATTATCAAGGGTGGAGACAATTTCTACCATCTTAAACACAAACTTTTTCCTTTGATAGTGGAATAGTGCAGAAATGGCCTGAGAATGAGCTGTGAAGTAAATTATACCACCCTTCCCCTGGGGTTGAACTTAACTGGATTCAATGTTTATTAAGTCAGGAAGAGAAATAAAACCCAAATTTAAGTTGAAATATAAAAAAAATGTTTTAATAATTTAATATGGGTTGTCTTTACAATAAATATTGTTAACAATACTGTATCTGGTTTCCATCTTTATGGTGTTGGATTTTCATTGAAAAAAATGTTCTACAATCATGTGGCATTCTTATATCTAAATGTCCAATTAAAATGAACATTTAAGTTTCAGAGTCAAACAGTTAACTTAAAAATTACATGATAATTTTTATGACTTTGTGATTAATGAATGTTGATTCACTTTGTCTGGTTTAGTTTTTTTAAAGGTCCATCTTGTCCCTTTGATGCAGTGTTCATAACTTCTTGAGGGCCAAGAAATTACTGTTGAATAATCTCTAAGCTGAAGTTGAAGGAATTACTAATCTATTTTGACTCCACCTGAGGAGAATAATACTATTAAAAATTCAGTTCAGGAACCCAATAACCATATTTTCTTTTGTTTTCATTGTCATAAACCTAAACAATCATGGAATGGGCATTTTGAAAGTTAGCACTTCCATATTGCTATCACTTTGTGTATAGTTTTTATGGAAAGATAATCCTCCAGTAGTCAGCACAAACATATTTCTATAATCACCTGAGCAATTATATTGCATTAAACTGAGATTTTCTCTTGTTGCCTCTTTCAACAACAGGTGTTCTTTAACTTGAAACACTTGCTCTTCAGTATTTCTAGACAAACCTGCCATTATCATGGCAGCTTGCTGCTTTCAGCATGGCTTAGGCCTTAACAAGTCAGAGTCAACCAACCATTGACTACAAGTCAACAACTTGTGAATCATTTAATGTTATCTGCCTGACAAGCCTTTCACTCAGTTTCCAAAGCTTGGCAGCTGTTTCAGGATTCTTAGCTTCATCTGATGGCTTGCACACACTACAGTTATTAAAATAATGCCCTCCTACTTTATTAAGCTCTTTGGATGTCGCACAGTACACAACAGTGGCTGCACCTTGTGCCTGGAAAAAGGAAGGTAAGTTAGACAAGTTTAATGTTAAGGAGGTCTCTTGTAAAAAACACAAGGCCCACTACTAACAACCTCCTCCCTGTAACAGCCACATTTTCAGCTCATTTGTTAACTATTTATTAACCTTTTAACTCCCAAAGTCGGATTCTTAATTCTTCCCTCTATCAGCTATACATTTCCATGTAAATTAGTTATGAGAATTTGGTGTTAGATTAAGATAACTTCTACTTACAAGTTTGAGTATTCTCATAACAGGTTTGCTGGATAATGTATGGATATTGTAGGGAGAAGTTACAAGTACAGGTATGTTAATCAATTGTGGGAGTTAAAGAGTTAAACTTTTCCACAATGACCACTTGAATGCTCCCATTAGCAATTTCAAAAACAAAAACTTTCAACCTGGCAGAAAACACAGGTAATGCCCCTTCCTCTCTAAAACACCACCTCTCTCACTTCCTTTCTCCCCAGAGGAGGTGAGGTGCTTAGAATGACATTCCTGATTAGAGCTACAGGTATCACAAGGTACCATAAGGTACCTCTTGCACAGCCACTATAGATTCGTCTGAAGTCCTTCAAGTTTATTATTGTGTATTACAAAACTTAAAACTTACTGGTGTCTTTGCAAATGGTCTGGCCATGACAAAGAAGATCCAATAGAACCACGAGGTATGGGACAATGAAGTGTAAATCAAGTTCCCAGGATGTACAGCATTACATGTCACTCCTTTTGGTTTCAAGCGACGATTCAGTTCCATGGAAAAGAGCAAGTTACAGAGTTTGGATTGATTATATGCCACAATGGACCAGTATTTATCTTTAGAAAGGGGTAGCTCTGACAAAGGTAACTTTGTAGAGTAGGTTAAGTCAGGAAACCTAGGGAAGGAGAAAAGACTTAATCAATAACTTATCATCCAAATAAACTCAAAATACATCTTTTGTTTCAGAGAAAAAAAATTAATTTTTCTCAAAAGTTTTTTTTTTTTTTTTTTCAAAGTTGAACCCAGATTGCATTATTTATTTTCCACATTCAAAAATCAAATGATCAAATATCAAGATTCTCCTTAATTTTTACTTTCTCTTCAGATGTGGAGTTCCAAAGCTTTGTACTTCTTAATTAATGTTGCCAGGATTTATCAGCAAAAAGTTATCAGTATAATATGAAACAATAACACAGTACTGCTACAATACTTGAAATTAGCTGACTTTTCTTGTTATTTTCTTATCTCTCTCAAAATTACCATTCAGTGTTTTCTACAGTACAGGTATATTACTTTTTGGAGCTGGCCCTTCAAAATTGGAAACTGAGGGACACAAAAACAACAGAGTCATTATGGCTAACTTACACTGCACAAAAGCCCAAATTGTGATTTGGTGAAATGAACACAGATTTCTCTCACCTGTGAGATTCTGAAGACAAAACTACAACTCTGGCAGGAGATGATGAGCAAAGAATGTCTTCTATCAACTTCACAAGGTAGAAATGGCCAAGATGATTGACACCAAAAGTGCTCTCAATTCCATCCTCTGTCTTGCTCCATGATAAACCAAATACAGCAGCATTACAAATAAGAATGTGAAGAGGACTAGAAAAATCCCAAATTTGAGAAATAAAATTATACATTTAGAATTACCAACTTGAAGAAGAAACTGCAAAATTTTAAGAGAAATTTGGCAAATGAATGAAAGATAAAAAGCTGTTTAGGTACATGTGATTTGTGAATTTTTCTAAAAATTAATGCATGAAACAGTATAAGGACTCCTCCTCTGCTTTTCTTAATCAAGTTAACTAGTTTACACTTTGTGTGCACTTTTTGCATTTTCAAATTCTTACTCAGTTTTTGAAAATTGCACACAGCACATTCCTTTCTTTAAAATATTGCCTTCTGCCAAAATGGTTAAATAATTGATTTAGAGTAGGTTTCACTCACAGTTTCCGCCCTCTAAATTCTTCTGCAAAGTTTTTGATACTCGTAAATGATGCCAGGTCTAGCAACATGGCTTCCACGTAAGCCTCAGGGGTCTACAGCATTTGAGGAAGTAAGAAAATAAAACTATATTTTAAAACTAAGAAAGTTTGCTGAATGTACTGGTTTTAATTCCCCACATGCTTGATATAACTTAATAACAAAACTTATAAGAAATTCTGAAAATACATCTCCATTAATGTACATATAAAATTAAATATTGAAAGTACAGTAGGAATGACCATTGTGCTTCTTGATCAAGAACAGGAGATGTAGATTGTGAGAACATGCATGTTTTATTGCCAAGCAAGAAGAACAAAACTAAACTAAGTCACACCACAAGTGCATAATGATTCACCCTTTTTGTATGCAGTGCCCTGGGTACTAGTAATATGATGACTGCTGACCTAAAATGGAGCCTTCTGATAATATCATGACACTGACAATTTGAATTAATTTAAGTAATGGAAATATCTAAGAGTATGGTAAATAAACAGTAAAATATTCATAGGAAAGAAATTAACAAGAGTAAACATTTCAGTTAATGACCTGTACTTGTCTAATCATAGCTGCCGCCCTGTTTGCTTTGTTCATGTTCCTACAAGCTAAGATCACATGAGTTCCGTGAAGTGCCAGTGCCTTGGCAGTCTCAAAACCTAAAAAAAAACAAACAAAAAAGATTTCATTAGTTTAATCCTTTAACTCCCATATAAGAGACCAAGACAGAATTTCTCCTTAAAATATCAATACAATATCAAGAAGACAAGTGATGAGGACAAAGAAAGACATAAATTAGGGGATTGTTAGTTGATCCAATACCAAATACTCCAAACTAATATTGCAATATTTATATGGCAGACAGTAAAGAGAATTACTAATGAGATCTTGGGAGTTTAAGGGTTAAGAGGAGCAAAATTTTAAAATAGGATAAAAATAGATTGAATACTGCCTGACTACCTGGGTAGGACTTAAACTTTCGACTCCCAGAAGTGATTAACATGTTACTTCTCCCCATAGTAACAAAACATTATCCAGCAAATAGGTGGTGAGATTACCCAAAATTATCAGGTACACGATATTATCTAGATTGAACATCAAATTCTCGTAACCATTTTACAATGAAATGTGTAGCAGCTAGAGGAGAGAATTAACAATCAGATCTTGGGAGTTAAAGGGTTAATCATTACTTCATGTAGCTACAGTTTTTGTTGGCTTAAAAACATGGATGAGATCAAACAAAGGAATGGTTTAAACCAGGTAAGAAGAGAGGGCATTGAGATGTAATCATCCAACTATTACATGCTTAAGGCAAATCAAAGGACAATTATGGTTAATTTCAACATGTAGAAAGATGGCCATTGAAGAGAGGTTTGGTGTGATAATAGTAATCTGAGAGCAAATAAAGAAACAATGCTTGTTGTAGATAGCTGACCTTCAAGAAAGGTTCAGTAAATTTTAAAATGGTTCCTGAACACAATGTGTTAAATGTGCTAACCTATGCCACTATTGGCTCCTGTCACAATGGCAACCTTTCCACTCAAGTCCTCTCCATTTAACACATGCATGGCTGTAGAGTGACTATCCAACTTTTTTGAATTTTTTTTACTTTTGGTGAAGTTTAGGGCTATTCTTGGGTCAGCATAAGTGGTTACTCTATTCACAGAACTGTTAAAAGATTGTACCAATCAATCAGTGGAAACTAAATTATCTTTAAGAATGGATCCTACTTTAACACAAGATGAGAACTTGGATATATGTCAGCTCTCCCATTACGACAAGAAGTCTTTAGGATACCAAAAAAATCTCCAGATCAACAACTTGTTAAATTTTCCATAAAACAGTAAATCACGGAATATGTTTGCACATAAAAGCAAAATCAAGGAAAATTTCATCTGTATCAAAAAATTGTTACCAGTGACAGATTTTCTTCTTAGGGATGACCGTTTCAAAGAATTTTTTGAGGGACTTTATCCAGACATGTGCATCTACATGACAAGTGACTTTCAGTCTATGGTCAGAGATTGCAATAAAGCAGTCATTTCTAATTTCAAGTTTTTAAAAATATAATTGGGTAATGGGTAATGACCCCCAAATCAAGCATCTTCAAATACTTAATATTTTCAGAGGATAGTATCTCTGTGATATGATTTCAAAGAGATTAAATTACTCACTCAAAAAAGAAAACACTCCCTTTACTGTCATATAATTGTTGCCAGCCTTGTGGAAGCTCTACAAAAATAAATGAAAAAAACGATAATCTATTTGTAAGCCCTATCAGAGCTTCAAAATCTGATCAGGAAATCTCCATTTCCATTTCTCAACATTCCTTTGTAAATCGATTCGAAGAGTTTTTGGTTATGGAGATAACACCTTGCAGAAAAACTGGCAATTCTTGTTACCTTTCTGGGTGCTCTATTGACATTTCAAGAAGAAATTACATTTTATACGCTTTTAAGATTGAAAGGTTTGACACAATTAACAATTTAATTTGTAAATCATGTAATTTGAAATACCTCCACAGACTTTGTATCTTTTTCCCGACGTTGGATGTTCCCACTGAGTTGATTTTGTCAAATGACTATAAAAATTAAATTTTTATTAAGAATAAGGTAAGCAAATGTTTAAATTGTCACAAATCAATTGAGCGAGACCAACAATAAAACGTCCAATATCATTGTTTACATTAAGAAAAAATTAAAAGCGAGTTTGTAGGACGTTATGTTCGACAAAAATTTATACAGAAAAGGAAAAATGTACTTTATGAATTAATATAAATATCTTTTTCTTAAAAAACCTCTAATTTATAACGATCACAACTCAGTTCCTGTACTGGAACCTGCATCCGTAAGCCGGACAAAATGTTTTGGAACAGATCCCTGAAAGGACCTTTCATAAAATCACGAATTAAGCTACGGGAAAAGACTCACTTCGCATAATAGATCCTTCCATCGTCCATTGTTCTTATTTCCCATCCAGGCGGCAAAAAGTGTTCCTCTGGGTTTTTAAACTCGCTGGTTTCTTCGAACACCAACCCGCCATCCTTGGCAGCCATTTTTTACCTTCGGCCGACAAGGGACTGGAGCGGCCCTGAAGCAATACAGACAACCCACGGCCGCAGGGGGTGGGGGGAGGAGGGGGGAGTGATAGGACGTGGTAAATAGGGTAAAGTACATCAAATAAAGAAAAAAAGCGAAAAAAAATCACAGGAACAACAATGGAGAAACAGCGGGAGAGATTGTTCTTATCAAAGACTGAACATACATTGAGCTCTGTCCTTTTTAAGAGATGTGTACTGAACATTCATTAATACTTCGAAAAAACTTCCCCCCTAAATTAACCATTGTCAGCACCCCTAAAGTTGAGTTTCATTCCACCCACCAGGTCGAGAGATGTAATTACCCTGTGATTAGGGTGTAGAAGCTGGCTGTCTCATTTAAGGGTGCAAATTGAGGAAACAGATGGAGTAAAGGGAAAGTTTTTTTTAGTCCCTAATCTTCATTCATTTGAAGTCAACTGAGGCTTGAGTCATATTAGATCACTTTATCTTTGCAGTTTGATTCATACTAAACAACTCCAGTTACACAATGTGACTCTTTTCTTCATATGAAATTCCCTTCTTGGGGTACAATTTCTCAACACATCCTTCTTTCAAGGTTAAAAACTTACACCCAAAAGTATCCTTTCCTTTGAGTTTCAGACAACAAAACTTGATGGTTTAATCAGTGGAAAGGGAGGAAAGATAGAAAGGAACAGAAGCCACAGTTTAAAAAGAAAGGGTTAAATGACACTGGACTTGAGAGAAAAATGATGAAACTACAAGTAAAATTCCAATGTTCAGTTTGTTTAATACAACCTTACAACCAAAGTGCATAACTGTACATGGTGAAATTTTAATAACCCTTCTGTTGGCTGTTAAGTAAATGACACTTCAACCTTAGAGAAAGTAATAAAATTAAATTGAAATGTAAAATTGTTAAAAACTAAAAGCGAAGCAAAAAGGGAATATTTACCTTATGGACTAAATTTTCTTAAATACAATGGTAAGAACGCTGACAGGGTTCTTACTAAAACAAATAAAACCTGCTATGCATGTTACTTAAGTCCATCTTACAGTTTGCAGAAAATGATATGTTCCATGAGAACATTTTCTACAAACCCAAAATAACTCATTCACTCCAGCAGACAGTCTGTGACCAATAAGCAATTTTTCCAATATAAGTTCAGTTTTAAACTAAGAAGTGATGAGAAAGACCGGGGAATATTGTTTGATATCACAAAAAATTATCATGGCTAAACTCATACAAAATGTATGACAGACAGTGCAGAGAATTGATATTTGATGCTTGGTATTGGGAGTAAAGTTTTGAGACACCAGCATAATTTTCTCAACAATCACCAACAACACAATAAAATTCACAACATTTGCAAACAGATCTAAGTATACTAATTTACATAATTAGCACCTTTTAAGGTAAAGCATTTCTGCACTGACCTAGAGTAACCTTGGAACAGTACCAGCCTAATGGTTATAGCGTACCACATATGCTTCTTCGATATGCCTTTCACACCTAAATATCCATGCTGATATAATGAATGGAAATTGCCTAAACTTGCTAAGCAACACAATGTGCTTCACAAGAATGACATTTTGTTAATCTTTCAACCCTCATGGGAGTGCCAATTTGTTGATGGTGATATTTTTACTGTCAACACTTATTTAAGCAAACATATGGAAACACCAAAGATTGAACAGTGACCTTGTTGTCAGAAATAAGGCGATCTGTAGTTGAATGGAACAACTACAGGTTACCAGTAACATACTATCTGCTCAAAGTGCACTTATCTGCTGACAAAATCTAGCATTTACACATCAACACCTATGTGCCCTAAATATTACCTTCTGCGAGTTACTTTAGATTAAACAGAATTAATGTGCCTCCAAACCAGCTAGCTTAGCCTGCAATATCAAACCCTTGGTTTTTGCTTTTCAGTTGGTCTGTGGAACAAAACACCTCTAAGAGAAACTATTTGCAACAGCAAAATATTGCTGATCATGCCGCTTGGATTTCTAGAGTTCTGTTTGTAAGAAGCTGGCAGTAAGCAAACAATTAACCCATTCAGAGTCATCTTGGCCAAGAGGTTGTTTGCAACTCTACACATTCAAAGTCTGAACATAGTGAAGGACACTTGTATAAACTAACTGTGATGCTGGTAGACAAATATAATCACACAGTTCATATACAATAATAACCACTCAATTATTAAATAGAAGATAAACTGTTACTTTCAACAAAGCAACCTTCAGTCTTTTGCCATAGCACTTATTTTATATCCAAAGATGATAGAAACACCAAAACAACTTCATGAACCCAAAATTGATAACGTATGCATGAATGCAATACTGAATCAACAGTTAAGAATAACTACATGTACAGTACCACTCATATATATGTTAACTAGCAGATGCATGTCATACACTCAGGCACAGAACATCAGATGCGCACACACATTTTTTTTATATTTCTAAAAACTTCCCCTCCATTAAATCTGTTATTACCCCCTAGTCCAAAGAGTGAACAAATACATGTATGAATCTTACAATTAAAATAAACTTGTTAAAAAAAACTACTAATGTTTCTGTACAAAATGTGAGTATGATAAAGAACCATGGTTATATTACAAGTGTATGATGGTAAAATAAGTGGGCAGTATTCATTCATATGTACATATGGTCTTTGCAAGAAACATTTAAGATTGTATCATGATGGTTAGCTATAATAATTATAATAATAATTAACACCTTTCCCTCCCTCTCTTTAATAACCAAGAAAAGTAATCCTCAACACTGACTTGATTTCACTTAGGAAATGAGAATTGGAGAATTCCTAGAAAAGAGGAGATAAACAGTGTTACAAATATTTGTAATTTCTCCGATGATTACTACAATATCTTCAATACAACTACTGTTATCAATATTATCATCATTGTCTCTGATGAAATGCACAGACCACACATCCTTTACTGTTCTTTACATGTGAATTAGACTTTTTAACAAGTGTAATTCCATACCGGCTAAAAGAGGACTCCTCAAATGCCATATCCATGGGTTCCATTTCAAACTGTTCATCTTCATCAGACTGGTATTGAGCAATGGACCTGTTGTAAATTCCAACTTTGATCAGTTCTTTATGAGTGATGAGAAGAATAACAATTCTTACAATAGAGAAACAATTAGGAGGATGTGTATTTTCAAGTTTCCAGTAGCTCAGTTTGTTTACCCCAATACTCTAGCAAAAGCATTGTTTTTCCTTTCTCTTTAGAGGATTGCTGGTCTCAGAAGAATTTCAAGCAAAGTTTAGGCACAGTCTTGGAAGGTAAAGAGATTATCTCAAGATATGAGGTTGCTTCAGACTGTTTGGATAAAGTTCTACTTCATATCTGTGATAGAAACTATTCTGTCCCCACATTTTCCTGAATTAAAACAGGGGACTTCATAATAACAAGACAAATATGGGGTTTCAGTAGATTATGTTCCTCAGCCTCTAAACAGTACTGTAGAACTTCACTAAAGATTTTCCTCTACAAAATGTGCTTCCTACCTTGTTGCTCTACATGTAAAGAACAATATTCTCTTCATTTTCTTGTTGTAGAAGAAATAGTTGAAAGACCAGAGGCTTCCTTCCTCGCCATAAGGGTCTGAGTCAAGATCAGGATTGTAGCTAGACATAAATAAAAAAAAAAACATTTCCAAAATTACAAACCACTCAAATAACTTGACTTCAGTAATAATGTATTTGGCACCTCTTTGGTAATTGGGAATGCCTAAACAAATTGGATAGGTAATATGTTGAACAAAAGTTTGTTTATTAGTTAGCTAGTAAGTGGCAAATCAACTGGCCAATTATAAAAAAAACAGTGTGGTGACTGAACTTAAGACTGCTGTGAAACAAATGGCTGTGAGAGAAAGTGTGAAAAGTTAGAAACTGCATGAACCTCTAAATTTTAAATCCAGCACACTTTCACCACCTACATTTTGTACCTACCATAAAAATACATTCAAGTTCAGTAGTCATGAACCCTTAACATCTAACTAAATATTTTGGCATCAAGTGGTAAAATCATAATATAAATATGAACTTTACTATAATCCATGCAATTACCTGAATATGTCACACTCCACCAGATTAATCTCTTCATCAATTGCACTCCACAATCCTGCCCTGAGAGCAACATATGTCTCACCATTAATGGCAGACAGATTCCCATTGATTGCATCTACCACCAATTGAAGGTTTGGTTCACGCGAGAACTCATGAGACTTCACATTACTGAAATCATAATCTGGGTTAAATGATGCATTCAGGGTGGAAATCAAATAGAACAACATCTTGCGACTGATTGTGTCACACAGCACAGCTTCCTCTTGACTTCCTGTGCTCAGCCTTCTCTGCCGTGTACTAGTAAGGACTGCAGGGTAATTGCTGTTGGTAGGTGATATGCTTGCTGAGTGTGTAGTTTGTGGTGGTGACAAGGCCTGAAGTTCATGAGGGGCACATCCTTCATTCAGACTCTTATATAGTTTTTGTCACTACCAGCCATCTTACAAGAGTAACTTTCAATTCTAGGAATAAAATACATTCATAAATATCATATCCTATAGTATATGGCTTCACACAATAAAGGACACAGGCCTTTAGCATTGCCTCCCATTCAATTTGACAAACAGTCTTACTGGAACTCTGACAGTTCCCTTACGTCATCAACCATTGTCAGATTTGTGGATTCCTTCCTGGTTATGTCTAAAGGTGTCAACCTGTTACTGTGGGGTCCTGCCACCTAGACCATTTAAATAGAGGATGGATTGTCTAATTTTAATGGGGGTGGGTTAACAGTCCGAACCCAACCCCCAGCCTGGAGCACCAGGGGATCACACTTTGTCTGGTCTCTACCCTTCGACCTGTTCGGCATGGGTGACCCTACCAGGAGTTCAAGACTCCAGCCGACATAGCTCTAGGGGTTACTGAGACACACAAACCATCCCACCGCGATAAGGTGGTGACCCTTGGGATGGAGTTACAAAATCTGGTTGTCAAAAGTACAAGTGATCCTGGAGTTACTGTAGTTTAGTTAGTGATACAGATACAATGATGTCTAAGAGTGTTGTTGACAAACTGAAAAAGATTTCTCTATACTGACAAGCAGCATGCCTGTCAGTTGCTGATTTAGGTACAGTTGCTTAACCCTCTGACGCCTCAGAGTGACTATCATCTAATTTTCTCCACATAAAATTACCTCTAAATCAAACTGAAGGGTCTAACGTCATACTAAAGGAAATGATCACCAACTAAACCTCTTGACTAATAAACAAATTCTCCTATCAGTGCCTTACAAAATTTACAGAGAAAAGTATTGAAAATAAGTATACTGATGATTCTAGGCCATTAGTCTCTAACATGAAAAATCTGTATTTGTGTTGGAAGTGACAAATCGACATAGGTATACTAAAAACCAACAGAACTGGCAATTGACAGGTAGTAAGAGCCACAATTGTGTAGCGCAGAGATTATTTTTGATTCAGAGTTTGGCAGATTTTTGGGATAGTTCTTGATCAGCATATTAAATAAATTTAGGTGGAAAGCCTCACAAAATGCAGCATTAAATTTATTCTCCTCAATCAAATGAAAATCATCACATGCAAATCAAAAGTCAATTCAAGTTCCCAGCCAAAATTTTATTAGTCTCGAGCCAATAAAAAAATTTGTTTCTAAAAAGAACTTAAAAATTGCAATTCCGCAAGAAAACTCAGGCGCTCCAAAACTTTCTTTCTCTAAGAGCTATGTCAGCTGAAGTCTTGAAGGAAATTTTCGTGTACCAGTATCTACAGCCTCAGATAGTTAAGGTTGAAATAACACTAAAAATACAGCGAGAGTGGACAAATATTAAACCATAAAGTGATCCCCGACACTAGAGTTAGTGAATGACTGTCAGCTGATATGGAATATGCTGAGCCTCGCAAATTCATTACGACCTTCGAAGTTTATTTTTCTGGATCAGATAATTTCGCTGTTCATGGCTAATGGCTTATCGACACTGAGTAAACTTATGACAATCTCAAATGTGTAGGGTAAGCTTGGAAATACAAATATGGTTCAAGCGAAGAATTACCGAACGGAATTAGATACAAAAAATTTAAATACATTTCAAAACAGAGATAAACAACAAACTGTAGACGTATTCATTATCTAGATACCTTACCTGCCATCAATTTGGCTGTCTCCCTTGTCCGTGGAAATGGCTGCACTTAGAGTGTCCAAACGGGCGTTTTCCAAGAGCTTCATATTGTTTTCACCAACTCAACCTTAGGACTGATTAACTTTTTCTTTCAAGGAGAGAAATTTTGTTTATTCTCGTACCTGTTTACCAACCTTCGCTTCGTATAAGCTTAATGAAGTCTCTGTCGATGTAAAATGGGCTTGCTATGCGAACTAATAATCGACTTCTTCTTGTAAAAGGGTTGACGTCCGGGTTTTCGTCCACTCTGGGCGCCAATTTTTTCCACAAAGAAACAGAGGAAGGGTGAACTGTCGCTTGGATGCATGTAGAAGACTTCCTTCTAAGCTCAAAAACTGCTTGACTTAACTCACAATTACGTGAGCTGATACTAAAACACTTTTTTAAACTAAACTGCAGCTATTTAGATGCTAAAATACTGAGAAAAGCGAGGAGAAGATGCTTTTGTCAGAGCACAAGATGGCGGGTTCATAAACAACAAATGTCTAGCACTGAAACCGAAAGATGACGTCATAGTTCCTAAAGTAGGATTTAGGAAAAAAAAAAGGAAGAAAGGGAAAAAAGGAAATGAGATGAGGCAGAGAGAAACGATAAATCTAACAACAAACCAAATACAAACGTTGTTATGAGGAAAGTGAGAACTTTTTCTGCTTTCATACTGAGTTAGAAGTCCATTGTCACATTCGAAAATTATTACGTGATTAGTACTAATTGGAACTAATTACATACGAAGGTTTTGTCGATTGTACTTCGGGATTGAATCGGCATTAAATCGACATCGAGCAAAACGAGTCAAGAAATTTGAAATAGAGGAAACGGAAGGCCACGATAGAGGAAAACAAGAGCACCCTCGAAGATTACTGGATCAGTCGCAGCTATCAAAAGAAGTACGAGCTAAACTCAGTGGAGGTTGTGAAGTGCCTGACTAGTGAAGGGTCCCATAAAACTGCGCACTCAAACAGAACTAGAGCGGCCAGAGAAATGGGAATCGTGAACAGCTTTGTTTGGAGAGGATGGTAATCAGTAACAATAGTAGAAAATAGTAAAGTTCTGAAGTTTGCCACGTGACGTACATTAGCTCTGCTGCCAGTTGTTTCTAATCGGAAATTATTTTTTTTTTACAAATAGTGGGCGGCGGGTGATACTTTTGAGACGGATATGAACCAGACTATACAAAGAAGTAACAAACTGATTTAGACTCAGCAGTACAATTCGTTTCAGACCTATAAGTATAGAAGGAAAAACGACTCGTAAACTGGATTTTATTTTTTTCCGTCCGTTTATTATAAAATGAGGTATACAATGTGCAACAATGGGATAGCCACTTGCATTCTTATTAGGCTAAACAGTAAACTATGAGGAAGTTGCATTGTGCAATTCTTAGGAAAAGTGGTTTATATTGACTCCTTGATCTTCAACATAGTCAGAATGTTCCTTCCTTGCCTACTGAGGTATTTTACTGAATCAATTTGATGTTAAGTGATGATCTTCATTCTCACAAATAGAATACTTTTTTAAATTAAAGTTTTAATTCACTGCAGCGGCCATTGCTAATAATGTTAAAGGATTTGTCTCCCAAGCTAACTATTCATTCTCAAAGGAAAGAACACCATGTTTCGAGAAGACTTAGCTTAAGTCATCAGGAGACTGCTACAGGGAACGGGTTAATGATTTGCCGAGTGATGGTTAGTACACAGGGACCGCGCAGAGAAAGGGACTGGGGAGGGGAGGGGGCTTTAGCCCCCCCCCTCCCCCCACTTTTTTGCTAAAATTAAACAAAAAAATAGTTTAACAAAAATAACGAAGCCAAAAATAGCCCCCCCCCCTCCCCCACTCAAAAACTTGTTGCGCGGTCTCTGATACAATAAGTCAAGCAGCGAAAAATAAATCTTCATATGCTTATTGCAAATCAGCGATTAAAATGGATCACATATCAACTAGTTAGATGGACTACTTATCTAGTATGGTCGTCAGCAGGGACTGTTCTCGTGGTGATGCTGATCTGTTCGCCCGATGTAATTTCCTCTGGATCCCTTGCATCATCTGGTTGGATTTGATTACATCCTTTATTCACTCTTCTTTCTTGTCTAGCTTCAAGTCTCACAGCCATGACTCTTTGTCTAAATCTAAACAATTTCCTCTCATTTTCTTCAGCTTCTTGAGGAGTTTTTCCCAACAACATCTCGATAAAAGCAACTCTAAAATGTCTATTTCGAACTGTGTAAATAATTGGATTGACAACGGAATTAAGAGTCACTATCCCGAGACAAAATTGACGAGCGGACATCTTAACTTCATCCGAGAATCTTTTCTCGAATATATACCACGTGAAATTAAGGAAAGTAAATGGGACCAGGAAAAAAAGTATAACGATCACAATTAAAAGGGTAGTTGATTTTAAGGCTTTCTTCTCTCTTTTAAATTTAGCTTTTGCTTCCATAGAAACTTGATGGGTAAGAATACTTTTTTCGTGACGACGGGCCTGTTTATAGACCAGAACCTGAAGTATAACAATCGAAGAAAACACTGTGATCTCTAAAATGGCGAACGTCATCATAGTGTTTGGCAAAATGAAATAGAGAATGACTGCTGTGATCCAGGTAAGAAACGATGAAACTATAACTCTGGTATTTGTGAGCACCTCGTTGTGTCTAAGAGAGTACTTTATGGTGAGGTAGCGTTCTCCACTGATCAGAATCAAGTGGCACATAGATATCAAGCTAACTTCCATAAAAGAGAAGCTAAACGCCAAATTAACTTCGCACACTTCGTGGAAATCTTTACCTTGAAGCAGAAAAATCGCCAGAGTTGCATTCAGGGGTTGAACCAGCACGCCATTCAGTACATTAGTGAGTGCGAAACACGCCAGCATGATGTTTGAGTGTGTTTGAAGTCTTCTTTTACCTTCACGGCTAAAATGACTAATCCGTTAAAAAGCAGGTCAAAGGACAAGCAACGAAACTCAGAACGGCTGCTGCGATGAGAAAGTTGCGAGTAAGTTCGGAAGAAAAATCATATCGCCGAAGAATGGTTTGAGGAACTAATGAGCTGTTGCAATTGTTTCCAAAGCCAACAGAGGAAGAGTAATTCATTTTCGATATGCCGTCCCTCAGTTGATGTCCCCGCTTCTTGATTAACTTCGAAAAGGGCCAAAGTTCGTTTTGGATCTCTTTCAATTGTCAGTCCACCTTTAAATGGGCCAAAATTTCAATATGCCCCCTAAACAATCCACGTATCGCTGAAAAGACTCAGGATGGTACCTACATTTATTTGTAAAATAGAAGTGAGTGGTTCAATTACCCGATGAAATTTTCAGCTCACCTAGCCGTCAGATGAACAGAAATGACTATGTAACATCCGCTCTTTTATTTTTTTTGAGAGCGGGTGACTTCAAAAGTTTAACGATTGAACCGAGTTTGCTTTCATTTGAGAGAATTCGGCATAATTCAACTGGGTGTCATTGTTGAGAGAGCCGGAGAGGTCAATAAATCATGAAATTAAAAGAGTTTAAAAAGCATTGCGTGCGAGTTTTGCCACTTTAGGCATCTGTTGCAAAATGTGTTATAATGATGAGACTTAAGTTAAAATGAACGCAAAGGAAAGCTTTGCGTCATCAAAAGTCGGGGCTTGTCGAATTGGTCATTGATTTTCACGAGCCCTCTTGCTTTGGTAGATACTTCTAAATTTGGAGAATTTTTGCTGCTGATGTGAATGTAAAGATAGGTTTTTACTTGTTTATTGAAATTTAATGATAAAAATGTCACTTTTGCATTGTATTTTCTTTTTCTTAGACATATTTTTTACAAATGACCTTCTATACTTGTAATTTCTAGAAATATATTACAACAGAGATGGAGAAAAAAATAATAATAAAAATAGTTAAAACGGATCGCATGTAAACCTTGTTAGCAGTTGCATTTGGAGAGACAACTTATCTTGTGGAAATAAGATTTGTAATTACCCACCAAAATATTCAATCAGCGTGCCGCTTGATGAACAGGGATGAATTGTTAAATCCCTTCTTTTATTGGTTGAGAGCCGGTGACTTCAAAATATTTGCGACTGGACTAAGTTTGCTTTTATTTCGGTTGGGTGTTTTTTTTAAGAGGGCCGGTGAAGTCATTACATCATACAACGTCAAGAAAATATCGACTGCTCTTGACAGCGGTTGAAAGTATTTCATGTCAGTTTTGCCACATTAGGAATCTGTTCCCAAAAGTTATAATTACGATGATGAAAAATAAATAAATAAATAAATAAAAATGAACGTAAAGGAAAGCTTAGCGGTAACAAAAGTCAAGGCTTCCTTGAAGTAGTCGCTTTATTTCGACGAGCCTCCGTGACCAAAGCGTTTGAAAAATTAAGTTGGGAAGAACAAATTACAAAAGGCAATAAAGTTGAAAACAATGCTTTAAATGTGTGATTTGGTAGAGCATGAGGAAGGGAAATCTTTTTCATGTTTAGTCCTATAGCAAGTTTGACCCCAAATGAAAACTGAACTTAGATCCTTACACTTGTCAAAGACAAACTTAGCATTTTGGCGGCATATTATTTCTTCTTTTTATCACTCCTAGAATTGAAACCAATCGAAACCAAGCTTGTTTTGTAAAAGTCTAATCTTCGATTTCTTTCAAGTGCATGATTAATTCAAACTGAAAGTTAGTAATCCGCATTTTCCGAACTGTTGCAAAAGGAATTCTAATTTTGTGTTCCAAAGTCGTTCAAAGAAAAGTTGGAATGAGTCTGTCTTCTTCCGCTGTTTAATTCTAGCGCAACAACTGTTTCAGTTTATCAAAAGCTGTCTTTGATCCTTGCTGCCTTGAAACGAAGCGATTATACTTTCAGTGTAATATACTCTTGGTGCAGTGTATATCAGCTTTCAGTTATAATGCAAAGTTTTTTAGCGGACAAACAAATACAGCTTCATCTCCATGTTCTGTCAGGTAACTTGGTCAACATTCAAATTTATTTACCTTCGATTTCACAGTGAGGTATCACTATATTCACAGACAATAGTAGGTGACTCGAAGCGAAACATATCATCACTATGCGATACTTCTGATACTACACTGGCTTCGTTTTCTCAACAATCACAGAAAATGTGGGTTTTATTTTACAAAGATTAAAGGCAAACTCAGCTCTGCCGCCATGTTTTTTTAACTCTGCGGCTCTCTTCCACGTGGATTAGATATTTAAGGTGAGGAATTATTGCAAGAAATTCAGTTTTCATGTGTATTCGAAACGCTATTTATAGATATGTCGAACAATCCGATATAATCATTAAAACGGGGCTAATTTGCGAGATTAGAAACAAATTTCCATTTGCTATTAACTGAAAACCAACCCATTAGCTGCTTATTTCCATAAAGCGAGAAAAAAAAGCTGTTAGCTAATAAAATATTCCCAAGAAAATCTACTTCTGATAAGCGTCAAGCTCTAAGTGCTTGATTTTTTTTTAA